CCCAAGGAGAGCTTGCTGGGTTGGTCCAATCTCGACTTTCAGAGAGAGAGAGAAGAGATGGAGAGAGAAGGAGAGGGACACCTACCCACCCACCCCACACACAGAGACAAGAGATACACACACAGAGAGAGATATATACAGAGATACACAAACGCACAGAGAGACACACACACACAGAGATACAGACACACACACACACACACAGAGGAGGGAGATAGAGGGGGGAGAAAGAGACATGGAAAAACACACAGAGAGGGGGAAGATAGAGAAGTAGTGAGAGGGAGAGGGGGGAGATATAGAGGGTGGGGGAGAGTGGGAGAGAGAGACAGAGAGACACACAGAGATATGGAGAGAGAAGGGGGAGAGGGAGACAGGGAGAAAGACAGACAGACAGAGAGAGAGAGAGATACAGAGAGAGAGATACAGAGAGAGATACAAAGGGAGGAAGAGAAGGGGGAGATAGAAAGGGCATAGAGAGAGAGAGAGAGAGAGAGAGAGAGAGAGAGAGAGATACAGAGAGAGATACAGAGAGATGGAGGAGAGAATGATGTCAAAAGGGTTTTGTGGTTCCCGGTGTTTTTTAATCAGTTCTCTGCCCTAATGACCAGATGGGTAGGTGTGGCTAGTGGGTTCATGTGACTGGGTGGGAGTGAGTGATGTCAAGTTGATTCCCACTGAGGTTTTGCGGCTCCCAGTGTTTTCTTTTCTGTGGGAAATAGGTCCAAATGGCTCTTTGTGTGTTTAAAGTTGCAGACCCCTGTTATAGCCTATCTTTATAAAGTATAATTTTGATCTTCCTTTGCATTAATTTTTGGGTGGGACTGACATGTATTTTTTAATAATCAAAGAGACACAAAATGGCACAAAAAGCACAAAAAGGCCAAAAAAAGATAGAAAAAACAAGATACAAACTTTCTATCTTAAAAAAATCAGCAAAAAGAAATAAACCCATGGAACAGGTGACTGATACTATTGTAGTACACAATATATGTTCCATGTATGTGTTTATGCCCAAAGAACACACAAATTACATATCTATTAAATGTAAGCTATGTGAACTACTAGAGGAAAGTAAGGGATCTAGAGGCAGCTCTAGCCAAACTCCAACCTATGTAAGAAAGCTATGCCCGAATTGAACCAAATAATGAACAAGTAACTCCCAGAGGACTTGTCCCTGATGATAAACCCTTGGAGGAAGACAAATGGAGGCCTGTCACACATAGAAGGAAACACAATAATCAAAGAAAGAAGCAGCACACATCCAACAAACTCCTGCTGTCCAATCTAACCCAATCAGAAGTAGTCCCATTAAAACTGAGCAACCAATTTCTCCCCTAGTTGAAAATACTCAAACCCACAACCTCCCTCTCAAAGAAAGCATGCAAATTATTAGAAAAGAGACATCATCCAACACCTCTAAAAAAATCACATCAACAAACTCAACTGGATAAACAGAAAAGCACCCCAGACCGCATCCCCTAAAAAAGGAAGGTGAATATTAGTGATAGGCGATTCTATTCTCAAAGGAACAGAACCTGCAGACTGGACATAAAACTAGATAAACTGTTGTCTCCCTAAAGTAAAAATCAAGGATGTAGCCGAGAATCTAACCAAAATAATTAGGCCCACAGATTGCTACCCTTTTCTACAACTACACGTACAGACAAATGACACAAAAAAGGACTTGAAAACAATATTAAGTGATCATGAGCAGCTAGGCAAGAAAGTCAAGGATTTAGGTGCACAAGTAGTTTTTCCTTTTTTCTTTTAATTTTAAAAAACTTTATTAAATACAGAAAGTTAAAATGCACTTATACGAAGGTTAAAAAAATGCAAAATTGTACAATTAAACATCATAACAAATAGTGCAGCCAGTCTTATTTTCCTCTAACACATTTTGATAGTAATGTAATTCTTCTATCTAGATTATTAAGTGGCAGTTACTTTTATCCATTGTGAAATATCCATATTAATACTGTATATTACCTATTAATCATTTCTTACTTCTTAATTATGACTATATACTTTTAGAAATAAATCATTTCTTTGGCTTAATCAAAACAAAGGAGAGGTAAAAACTCCTGCCCAACAATTGTCTGTCATTCAAGATGTATATAATAATATATTTCTTGAAATCCTTATTTCTTTTTATTTTATACATTGTTTTTGTTTATGATCTATCCATTCATACTATTTGTCCCAGATCCAATAATATTCTGTATCATCTTTCTCTTTTAATTTCAATGTAAGCCTTTCCATTTCCGCACATTGGTATATTTTCTGAATGACAAAATACAGAGGTGGTACATTGGGTTTTTTCCAGTAGTATGCCAGTGAAATTCGTGTCGCAGTTAAGATATGGATAATGAGTGGGTAATCCCTTTTGATTATGCTGAGGAGAAACAATTCCGGTTTCCACTCCAATCTATCCTGGATTATCTCTTCTATCCATACTTTAATCCTAATCCAAAATTTCTTAATTTCTGGACATTTCTACCAGAGATGGAAGAAGGTACCATTATTTCCCTTACATTTCCAACAGGTTGGATTTACTCTTGGGTACATTTTTGCTAGTCTAGAGGGTACAAGATGCCATCTATATAACATTTTGTATAAAATTTCTTTATAGGATACTGATTTTGTTTATGTAGTTCTTGTGCCAAATCTCCTCCCAGTCATCTAAATTTATATTATAACAACAACAAAATTCCCAGGCTATCATCAGTCCTTTCACAATTTCCTTGGCTAGATCAAATTCTATTAAATAATTATATAGTTTGGATATCATATTTTTTTCTTGACCCAGGAGGATTTTATCCAATTGTGTATTTTTTATTTCTAATCCAAATTCTTTTGCATCTCTGTCATATTCATAGCTATTTGAAGATAAGACCACTGATCAATAGATAGTTCTTGGGCTTCTAATTCATAAATCGATTTAAGTTTCCCTTCCTTATTTAATATTTGATGGTATTTAAGTTTTTTTTACTAATGTCCATTGTATTGGGATGGAACATTGCCTGCATTGTTGATAACCATGTTAGGATTTTAGTATAGTGGTTATTCCTAATACCTGACCAAGTTTTTATCAGAGATTTTCAAAGGGTATGCCTCTAGAAATATATGTGGCTTTTAAAATTTGGATTCCACAAAAAGGCATGCCACCCTATTTGTAGGTCATGACCTTCTAATATCAAGACTCTTTTATTTTCCAATCTAATCCAGTCTTTTATCCAAACTGATGACACCGCTCTATAATAGGTCTCCCAGGGAGGAAGTCCAAAGCCACCTCTGCTTTTATTATCTTGTAAATAACTCTTTTTAATTCTTGATTTTTTACCAGCCCAAATAAATTTCATAGTAATCTTATCCAAATCTTTAAAGAATTTTCTATCTAATTGTATAGGGATCATTTGAAACAAATATAATAATTTAGGTAGGATTGATAGTGGCAATGCTGCCTAGTAATTAAATTTGCATTTTATTCCAATTTACCAGACCTCTACCAATTTGTTGCAGCAATTTTGTATAATTATCTTCCTTCAGAGTTAAGGTTTTAGATCTTAACCAAATGCCTAAATATTTAATCTTATTAATAATTTGTAATCCCATTATTTCTTCTAATTCTTTTTATCTGTTTTCTGTTAGATTTTTAACTAACATTTTAGTCATTTCTTTGTTAATTTTCAACCCTGCTAATTTGCCAAATTTATCTATTTCCCTTAATAATATTGGTCCTGAGTCAATTGGGTCTTCTATAATACCATGTCATCCGCAAATGCCTGTAATTTGTATTCTTGCCTTTTAATCTTTGTTCCTTTAATTTCTTTATTTAACCTAATTATATCCAGTAATGTTTACTGTTATAAAAAGCAGAGGTGACAGTGGGCATCCCTGCCTGACCCCTTTCTTTATCTCAAATGAGTTAGTAAAATCGCCATTTATCATTACCCTAGCCTTTTGTGTAGAGTAAATTGAATTTAGCATTTTTACAAAGTTATCCCCAAATTCCATCAAGTTAATCTGCTTTTTCATAAAATCCCAACTGAGGTTATCAAAGGCCTTTTGTGCATCCAGGAAGATCAAGGCAAGTTAATGGATGGAATTCATAATACTCTAATATATCAATTATGGTTCTTGTATTATATCTGATTTGTCTCGCAGGGAGAAATCCATTTTGGTCTGGGTGAATCCTATCATTAAGAATTTTTTTCAGTCTTTCTGCCATTACATTCATAAAAAATTTATAATCTGTATTCAGAAGTGATAGTGGTCTGTAATTTTTTTTATTTGATTGGCATCTGTACCCTCTTTAGGGATTAGTATAATATAGGTCTCCTTCCATAATTCTGGTATTTTCACCTCTAATAATACCTCATTATAAATCTCTAAGAGCAGGTTTTCTAGGGGCTCTCCTATGTCTTTATATACTTCTCCTGGGAGGCCATCTGGTCCTGGAGTTTTATTACTTTTTTGTCTTAATTGCCTCTTTCAGTTCACTTAGGGGTATCCCTTTATTCAGTATCTCCTCCTTGTCTACCGGTAATGAATGAAATATCCCTTCCTTCAGGTATTGTTCTATTTTATTTGAGTCTACTATATCTTGATTGTGTAAGTTTTCAAAATACTCTCTTATAATTATTTTCTTTTTTTCCAAGTCTGTTTCTAGTATCCCATTATTGTCTTCCAATTGGTATATGATTCTTTTTTGCTTTTCTTTTTTCAACTTGTAGGCTAGCATCTCCCTAGTTTATTTGCATACTCAAAATGCTTTTGTTTTATTATATTGTAATTTCTTGACTAAATCTTCCTGCTCTAAGATATTGATTTCATGTTTACATCATGCCAAATCATTTCTAATTTGCTCATCTCTTAGGGTTCTTGTTAATCTATCTTCTAAACTTTTTATTCTTTTTATTAGGTTATTCTGTTTCTTCCACTTAGTTTCGAATTTATTTCTTCTTTAATGTATAATACTACTACTTCCTTTTTTTCCCTCTGATAGTGATGAATATAGTTTCCCCAATTTTTTATTTTGTAAGTTTATCTGCTCTCGTAATCTAATATGGACCTCCTGAAGACATACAATATCAAATTTCTATTTTTCTAATTTACAAAATATTCTTTTCCTTTTGGATAGATCGTTTAACCCATTAATATTAATTAATATTAGTTTCAATCCTTTTCCCATTGTTTCTTGTTCTAGCCTCTAGTTTTCATTGGAATTAGTTGCCGTCTGATTTCTGGTTTTAATCCCTGATTCTTCTCTAACACCTGGTTCTCCCCTTGTTTCTTTGTTTTGGTTTTTCTCTTTCTCCTTGGGTTTTTGATGCCTTTCTTCTTGGCTTGAAGCCTCAAGCTCATCTCTGCTACCAAATTCATCTTTCGACCCACCAATTTGTTCAAAAAGATCTTGTGCTTTCTGTAGATTATTGGTTTTCACTCTTTTCTCTTTCCATGTTGTCAGAATGCCTTCTGGTGTAATCCATTTGAAAGAAATATGTTTTTTGTTTAAATAATTGGTAAGAAAGTGATAGTCCTTCCTTTGTTCCCTCAGTCTTCTTGGAATCTGTTTAAGGATGATTATTTCTCTCCCTTTATATTTTATTGTTTCCTCTTTTGAGATCTTATAAATGATACCTCTGACCTTTCTTCTAGCAAATCTGATATGGACCTCCCTGGGTAATTTGTGTCACCTCACATAGCTTGTGTAGACTCTATAAATGTCATCTATTTCATTTATCATTTCAGACTTATCCCTTTGTAAGAGTTCCGCTAAAAGCTCTGCCATCACCAATGCTAGGTCTTCTTCTTTCTCTTTTTCCACATTCTGGAATCTTAGATAATAAGAAGCTCTGTCCATCTCAAGATGGATCAAGGCTTCTTCTGTCTCCTTATTATAACCAGTAATTTTTTGGTCCATATATTCTAATTTTTTCTCAGCTTGGTCAGATCGTTGTTCTATTATTTTTATCCTTTCTTCATTCTTTTTAACTGATTCCTGAATCAATCCCATTTTTTCATCCAAGTTCCTGATCTCAGTCTTCATTTCCCCTATTTCTGTCTTCAGTTCAGCTTTCATCATATCTCTATTGGCTCTGCTTTCAATATGATTTTTTGAGATTGATTCTTGCAGCAGCAGCATCGCTCCTTGTATCACTAGTAGGGATGCCTGTACTTACTGGGCACTAGGTGTGTTCGATTTCTCAGGCACCAGCATCCCTTCAATCATCTGTTGAGTAGGTGCTGCGGGACTAGATAATGCCACTGTTGGTGTTGGTTTCTTTCCAGTCTTGGTGGTTGTAATACTAGTCATATCTCTAATAAGTCACTCCTTGCCTGAGAAGATAAAGGTGATGGCAGCAGATAGAGACTCGCTCCATATTCGAGAGTGGGAGTGAAGCGCCCCTGTAGGTGCCTTTTCTTCTGGCCCTTGTTGGTGCTGAGTGCACCTCAGCTGCTCAGGGAGACGTGCAACTTTCTCTCCACCCCAAAACACTGGTTGGCCTGGCTGCAGCTGATGCCACTGCTGTTGCTGCTCTTGCAGCACCTCGCACACTTAAATTTAGTGTTTCACAATTGGGAATATGGCATCCCCTCCTCCTCATGGAGCCCATTATGACATGAAACATCAGCTGCAGCTGGGCCAGGTGAGAGACTCGGGGCAGAGAGAAAGTTGCATGTCTCCCCGAGTGACCGAGGTGTGCACAGCACCAAGGGCCATAAGAGATAACTACAGAGGAACTTCACTCCCACTCTGGAATAGGGAGTGAGTCTCCATCTGCCGCCATTGTCCTTACCTTCTTAGGCCAGGCAAGAAGTGACTGCAAGGGAGGGCAAGGGGTGGGGCCAGCCACTGGTGGGTTCAGCCAACAGGAAGCCACAGCAGGGGGATGAAAAAGCTTTATCTGGAAACTTGAAATGATATAAATCGTATGGTAAAAAGCACCCTAAGAAGAAGAAAAAAACAACATCAGCAAAAAGAAAGAAAAAACCCAACCCTCAAGTTATAGTTCAAGAGGGAACACACATGGGGGGGGGAGATGAAAGAGAGAGATGAGAATGAGAGAGATGAGAGAGGGAGAGAGAGATAGAAAGAGAGATGAGGGAGAGAAAGAGAGAAAGATGAGAGAGGGAGAAAGAGAGAGAGAGAGACGGAGAGAGATGAGAGAGACAGAGATGAGAGGGAGATGAGAGAGAGAGATGGGAGAGAGGGAGAGAGAGGGAGAGGGGGGATGGGGAGGGAGAGTTAGAGAGACAGAGAGACAGAGAGAGGGGAGAGAGACCTGTTTCCCGGAGAAAAGAAAATACTGGGAGCCACAAAACCTGGGTAGACATGGCTGGGAGGATCATGAGACTGGGTGGGAGTGAGTGACATCAAGTTGGCTCCCAATGTTTTCTTTTTCTTTGGGAAATGGATCCAAATGGCTCTTTGAGTGTTTAAGGTTGTAGGCCCCTGTTATAAGCCATCCAATCAAACAGAAAAAATAGATGTCCTTTTGCTAACCAACTAATAAATACATGTAGGAAACACACCACAATATTTATGGGAGTCTTCAATTACCCTGACATCAACTGGAAGACTAATTCTGCACCGTCAGAAATCAAATCAGTTCCTAACTAACCTGACAACTTTGTTGTCCAAAAGGTACGGGAGAAAACTAGAGGGGCAGCCATACTGGACTTAATTCTTGCAAACAGAGAAGAAGTGATAGAGGGAGTTGAAACTGCAGGAACCTTGGGTGAGAGTGACCATGTTATACAAGAATTCAACATAATGCAAACACAAGCAATAGAACATAATAATACCAGAGTCTTAGATTTTAAAAGAGCTAATTTTAATAAACTCAGAACTTGGGAAAGATTCCTTGGATGAAAATCCTAAAGGAAAAACAACTCAAGAATCTTGGAAACTCTGAAAAATATGATCATAAAAGCTCAGGCCAGCACAATACCATTAAGAAAGAAAAGAGGCATTGGCTTACCTGAACTCAGTTTCTCAGCATGCATTTGGGTTGAATCTGCCTTTCTGCCCAGAATCTGAGTCATCAATCTTTACCATGCCTCTTCTTGTCAGGGCCAGAAGCCCTCAGTCACAATGAAGGCACAGTCACCTGATGATCTTCATTGTGGTATTGGCTCAATCTCCCACCTGGACACTGGACCAAATGGTTGCCAGGATAGGAGTGGATTCTCCAAAGGCATGCTGAGAAACTGCATTCAGGTAAGCCAACACCTCTTCTTCAGCATACCTATTGGAAAATCCATATACCAAAGCCAGCTGTCCCTATGAGCAGGAAGCGGTCTGGTCCTGTGATCTCCCATCTGTATGTACTTATTGGAGCATTCTTCTACCAAAAGCCACCTCAGCCAAGGTGAAAGTGTCCAGTTTGTAGTGCCTTATGAAAGGAGATGGGGAGGACCACGTCGCCGTCCTGCAGATGTCCTCAAGTGAGGCCTGCATTGCCCATGCAGCTCTAGTAGCTGCACTCCTTGTTGAATGGGCAATTACTCATCTGTGTACAGGGAGAGCTGAGTTTCATAGGGCTTGGCTATACAAGCCCTTATCCAATGACCTATGGTCAGTGATAAGACCTTGGTACCCATGGAAGATGATTGAAATGAGACAAACAGGGCTTCAGTTCTGCGATACGATGATGTTCATTTAATGTATCTTCAAAGTGCCCTTCTCATGTCCAGGGTGTGCCAACTTTGCTCCAGGTCGTGAGATGGAGCAGGGCAGAAGTCTGGTAGGTTACACGAAGCCTGATGTTGAAGGTGCTGGTTCTTGCCCTCTGGAATGGCAAGATGAACCATTGGAGGGTTCCGGCATGTGATCAAGCCCAGGGGACTATCACTATGCATTATACCATTTTTCCCAGGAATTGGGAAAGCACCACCAAGGGAACTGTTCATTCTGCTGTGATTTGATTGACCAAGGACTTGATGCTGTCCTGGCGCTCCTGGGATAAGTAAACCTCGCACAGACTATCACCACGCCCAGATGTAGCAGGAGGGTGGATGGGACTAGGTGACTCTTTTGAAAGTTGATGGAGAACCCATGTTCTTGAAGAACATGTAGTCCCTACATCAGATTGTGCCTCTTGGCTGGAGCTGGACTGAATGAAAATGTCATCCAGGTAGCACTGGCCCTGCATGGTGCGCAGCCAGTGCTGCCAGCATTTTTGTGAAGGTCCTGGGGCCGATGAAGGACCAAATGGCAGCGTTTTGTACTGATAGTGGTTCCCTGCGTAATAGAACCTGAGGAACCTCTGATGGGATGGAAATATGGGAATGTGGAGTTAGGCCTCCATCGGATCAATGGATGTCAAGAGGTCCCCCCTTATGCCCTCGAAAATTGACTGTAGAGATGGCATCTTGAATCTCTTGTAATCTGGGTGTATGTTCAATTTTTGAGATCCAGAATTGCCCTCAACCCCACCTTGAGGCTTTCAGGACTACAAATAAAATGGAGTAAAACCCATGCCCCTCTGGTCCTCTGGCACCAGCTCGATGGTCAGGATGTCCAACAAGTGTTGGATTGCTTTATTCATAAGCCACCTTCTTATGAGGTTTTTGTAGGTGGGGCATTGGGTGAAGGTCCTTGGAGGTGTGGAGAGAAAATCCAGAGCGAGACCAAATTGCAGAGTCTTCAGGACCCAAGAGCCGGAGGTGGTATTCTCCCATCAGTCCACAAATAGGGCCAGATGGCCGCCGATGGGAGGACAGTTCCAGTAGTCATTTGGATCGGTGAAAGGGATAGCCATGAGTCACGAAAGGAACACTTAGATTGGAACTGTTGTCTGGTCCTATCCCAAAAACCTGACCTGTCTGGTGGTCGATCAGATCTGGGCTGGTAAGATGTTTGGAATTGTGAAATTTCCTGTCCTGCATCTGTTGGACAAAAGGGCCGCCTGTGGATATAAGGGGAAGCCAGCTCTCCTGGTAAAGAAGGAAAAAACCTTGTGCTTTTTGTTGTTTTCAATCAGGAAGGTATTCAAGGCACCTCCAAAGAGAGATGCATCCATGTATGGAGCGAAAGCAAGCTTCCATTTTGTCCTGGCATCTGTTTGCCATTACCAAAGCCATAGCAAATAGTGAGAGGTAATATTGGACACAAGTGCCCTGGAAGAAAAAAGGGCTGCATGCAAGGATGAGTCGGCCATGAATTCAGTGGCTACCACCAGTTTGTTAATATCCTGGTGCATCCAAATTTCTTCCAAGTGGACTCTGGCCTGCAATTATCAAAGCCAGAGTAGGGACATCCTGGTGAAGAAGGAAGTGGCTGCTGCTGGTTTGACAGCCCATGCAATGGCCTGGTGTGCCCTATGGAAGTTTACTTCCGCTTTCTTATCTTCAGTTTTAAGAGCCGTCGCTATGTCTCCAGATACAGACCAAGGACACCAATGGCTTATCCAATGGAGGCAATTGAAGTGCCTCAGTCAGGAGAGGAGCCATATTGAAAAACATTTTGTCATTACCCCCTGGGGTGGGAAAGGTTGAATCCAATGTCTCTGGACAACATCTAGAAACAGCTTAGGGCAGGATATGTCCTGCTGCATGACAGTGGGTTCAGAGTACACCTTGCTATTAGGCCCTGGTTATCAGTTGGCAGTGCTTGAGAGCAAGGCTCTGTACCTATCTGGGCCATGGTCCTAACCTTGTGAAGCAGACATTTAAAGAGTCTGGGCTGAATAGCCCAGTGAAGCAGGGAGGGTCAGGATATAAGTCTTCATCCTCTGAGAACCCTTGCTCTCTTCCTCCTCCATCACTGATGCCCCACTCCTAATAGAGTGGGCCAGTGATTCTGCCCTCTGGTGTCTAAGTGCCTCCATAGGAACTTGGTATTATATGGTTTGCAATGGAGGCTCAGACCCCAAGGAAGGGGTATGGCTCCTCCTCTGCAGGGTAGAGACCACCCCATGTGAAATGGCCTGAAATATAAGGGCCTTAATGTCTTCAGACAACTTTGGTCCAAATTTAATTGCTGAGCAGTGCCCCACTGCAGTAGGGGTAAATGTGGCCTATGGAACCCTGGGTCTGTCCCTGATCTGTGATTCTGCAGGATTAGAGACCATGCGAGCAAAAGGACATGTTTCAGTTTGAATTTCCCCTGCTAAAGCGAGATAAACCTGCTCTCTATTGCCCTCCAGTGGCCATGCTCTTTGAATTGCAAGCAAGGCTTGCATTAATGGCAGCTGAGGACAGGAAATTCCAGCCTCCAGCTGGGGGGAGGGGGAATACCTCTCCTGCTCAGTTTGCTTCTCAGCTCTGGAAAACTGCTTTTCAAGAGCTTTTTGCCTTCTGCTTGCATCCTTTTCTTCCGCTCTGGTAGGTTTCCTGGAATAAATGGCTTTTGCCCTTATTTTCTCTGTTGCATCCCTGTTTGCAGATCTAGCCTTCCTTGAATTCTATTTGGACCTTTTAGATCATTTGGGCTCCATGCTATCTGCTGAGTGATCAGCCATTGTAATAGCTTGAGCCCAGAGACTGCCCTGGGAGGAGAGGCTAATTGTTCGATCCTCCTAACCCTTTAAGCTTGAGGTGGTCTTCAGCCCAGGACTTCTCCCCTGGGCTATGGCAGTGGCGACAAGACCAGATCCCTGGGGTAGCCTACACAACACACATGGTTGCAGCCAAAATGGCACCTGCTGGCCCTGACGATCAGCTGTGGGGTGCTGCAATTGAAAACGGCTGCTCTGGAGTTACCCAGATGAGCCTGGATGTGCAATCAGCAAGTTGTTGTTATTTGCAGAGCTTCCCCCTCTACCCCCTGTTTGGGCCATTATTGGTGGTTGGGGAAGCTGCATGATAACAGGGCGAAGAACAGGCTGTTTAAAATCCTTTCTGTCTGTCTTCTATTCTTCTCCAAACCTTTTGGAGAATCCACACTTTAGATGAATGCTGCTTGCAAAGAAACAGAGCCAAAATTTACCATGTCTCTATCTGGCCAAGACTGAGTCATGACTATTGGCTTCCAGCCCTGACAGGAAGAGGTGTAGCAAAGATTGATGACTCAGTCTTTGGGCAGAAAGGCAGATTCAACCCATGTGTGTGAATTCTCCAATAGGCATCCTGGAGAAACATGAAATCCAAGACAAAACCAGCATGGCTGCACAAAGATCTCTCTGACAAATTGAAAGATGAAAAGGACAAATACAAAAAATGGAAAGAGGGACACACAACTAAGGCAGAATATTAGCAGATAGTCAGAGTTTGCAAAAGCAAAGTCAGGAAAGCAAAAGCTCAGAATGAACAAAGACTTGCAACAAAAGTCAAAGATAATTTAAAAAGAGTTTCTTCCAACATATAAATAACAAGAAAGAAATCAAGGAAACAGTCTACTAAAGCAGCAGTCACCAATTGGTGGGCCGTGGCCCACTGGTGGGCCATGAGAAAATTTTGTGGGCCACAGAGAAATCTCACCCTCAAAGCAATTAATCCAGGCTGCACAGAAACACAAGGATGTGCTGCCCGCCTGGCCTGCCCACCCACTGGCCCCCACCCTTCGGTTGAGTGCAAACCTTACCTTGAGTAGAGCCATGTGAGCTGGAACTGGAAGGTAAGACTAACAGCAGGGGAGAGAAATCCACCCCAGGGTGGCTTTCTGACACTGGTGGGAAAGTCGGTCCCATATTCCAGAGCTGCAGTAGTCACAAGACTGGCCCTTTGATCATCCCAGAGCAGCTCCTCCAGTCCATGGCAGGCCAATGCACCCGGGTAGAGGAGCAGTTGCTCCAGGATGACCAAAGGGCCAGTCCTGTGACTACTGCAGCTCTGGAATATGGGACCAACTTTCCCACCACCGTCAGTCAAAAATCATATTAGTAGTCCACGGGACTTAAAATTATGAGTTTGTGGTCCCTGAGGTCCAAAAGGTTGGCAACCCATTTCCTAGAGTAGCCCAATATGATTTGAATCATATTGAACAACTCCAGAGGGACCTGAAAATGGCTGTTTGCTGATGGTCACCATCCAACCTGACTGAGCTTGAGAGGGTTTACAAAAAAGAATGGAGAAAATCCCCCAATCTAGTTGTGCAAAGCTTGTCATATCATACCTAAAAAGACTCGAGACTGTAATTGCTGCCAAAGGTGCTTCAACAAAGTACTAAGTGAAGGGTGATATTTCAATTTTTTCCTTTTTAATAAATTTCTAGAATTCTGTTTTCATTTTGTCATTATGGAGTACTGAGTATAGATTAATGAGTGAGAAAAAATGAAATTTCAACTAGTATAGAATCATACTGCAGCACAATAAAATTGACAAAAGTAAAGGAATTTGATTACTTTCTGAATATACTGTAATTATTGAAGCCAAAAGAATAGCATGTACATATTTAAAAATCAATGGCCGTGTTTATGTAAGATACTCGAAATCATCAACAGCAGGTGTATCTGTCAAAACATGATGTTGATCGATAAGTACATTTTGTACATTCTTCAGCCCTTTGTATTTTCTAATCCTATTTGGGATTGGAGAACTAGATTAAATGCTTTCCTAAGTGATTCAATATTTATTAAAAATTTAGTTTAGATTGTCACAAAGTTGTAACACTTGGGTGAAATAAGAATACCCTTGGGTCAGGAATTTTGCAGATGTGAGACAAAACCTGAATACTTTGGAGATTGTGAGAATGTTCTTATGCGTAGAAACCCTTTTTGCAATGTCACACAGCTAAACAGGATTTTTATCAACACGTACTGGTGATAAAAGCCTAGGATGGGAAAAGACATCAATGAAAAATAAAACTTGGAAAGAAGTCTTATTTAATGAAGAGTAATGTCCTGAATGATTATTTTTACTTTATCTATATAGGGAGTGCAATTAAGGGGAAACACTTTTGTTTCCTGCTTGCCTTGAGCTTCATAGCAGGAGTTAGTATGTTACTCACAAGTCTTCTAAAATTACTGAAATTATTATTAAGAAGGCAGGAGGAATTATTCCTGAGAGGCAAGAATTGGGGGTATCAGCAGGGAAAGGAAGGAGACAAATGGAAACAAAAGTTCTTGCTAGTTTTTCAGTCCTTGTCTATAACTCTTTTCCCCTTCTGTTCCAGGTGAGATCAGTCTAATCAAAGAAGAGTAGTTCCATTTTATGAAGAACCTATTTAATTTTAAAGTTTCCCTTTCCAATTATATACATACAGGATCAAGAATCATGATTGCTTTCTTTTCTCTGTATGTTCTTTGAACCCTTACTTAGGACCATAGAATCAAACTTGAAAAGGATAATTTGGTCAAGTGAGTCTAACCCTTATTTAGTTCAGAAATTCAAGTCAAAACTTTCCTAAGAAATGCCTATCTATTGCTTGAACATATATCAAGATGGAAATCAAATCTGTCTGGCATTCTGGAATGATTAGACCTTCATTTCTTCAAGAGTAGGTAAGCTTTGGTTAATTAAAAGCTGCAGCTGAGCTTTATAACTTTCCTGAGAGAAGAAAGAAAACTTCTGAAAATGCAGTTGAAATTGTTAAGTTTGAGCAATGAGAGGCTGAACCAGAGCATGAGTGCAACAGTACTTTATTTACAAATAAAGGGCTGACCGTGCTTGCCAAGCCTGGAACTGGCTCGCAGCAATCAGCAGCCAGTTGGACCCCGCAGCCTGCTTTTATAGCTGGCTGCTGGGGAGAACTGACCAATGGGAATGGGGGGAAATAACGCCCACACAAGTGAGTGGGCCTGAGTGAGAACTCCTTGAGTCCTCAGGACATAACACCCCTTCCCCCCAGATGCGAACACACATAGTCCTTGAGGTAGATGGGGGGTTTGTGTTGGCGCCCGGAGCGGCGCAACTCGGGAACATTGTCTGACTGTTCGGTATCAGTCTGTGACGGTTGAGCTGGCATAGTGTCTCCAACACTCTCTCTGGACTGGGCATCCTCGGAAACCACCGGGTTGGTTTCTGGAGTCAAACTCTCGTGGGTTGGATCCGGTTGATCAACTCTCTGGGCGCTGTTGTCCGGGTTTGGGCTGACCGGAACGACCGCTGGCGCAGACTGGTCACTGGGTGCGATGTGGCTGGGTTGTGGATGGGACGGTTCCCCTTCGACTGGAGACTCTGGATTCTTGTTTGCGAGGTTGCTGAGGCGTCTTCTGAGTTGGTCTATGTGTCTCCTCCAGACGCGACCATCCTCCAGCCTGACTCTATATGATCTCGGCCCGGTGACGGCGATGACTTCGCCTGGAATCCAAAGTGGGTCCCCAGCGAAATTCCTTGCGAATATCGGCTCCTGTAACATAAAATGTCTAACCCCCGAAGTGGAAGCGAGGGGAGAGTCAGGGCAGTATTGTGGGTGCAGTCTATCTAATACAGTCCTCAGGCGCCGGCCCATCAGGAGTTCCGCTGGGGACTTATTGGTGACTGCACAGGGGGTTGAGTGCTGGCTCATCAGGAACCGTGAGAGTTTGTGGTGCCAGTCATCTCTGCCAAACCTAGCGAGGGCCTCTTTAGTGGTCCTGACGGCCCTTTCAGCCAACCCATTACTCGCAGGGTGAAATGGGGCTGTTAAAATGTGGCGAATGCCTAGGTTGGCTGCAAAACGGCTGAATTCTACTGATGCGAACTGTGGGCCATTATCGGAGACCAAGAAGTCGGGTAGTCCATGGGTAACGAACAGGCGCGTTAACACGTTGGTGATTGCCAGTGTGGTGGTCGTGGATAGCTGCGCCACGTCTATCCACTTGGAATAAGCGTCCACGACCACTAGGAACATCTTTCCATGCAAGGGGCCGGCCAGATCGATATGGATTCTAGACCAAGGGGCGCTGGCGCTCTCCCATCTGGTAGGGGTGGCGATGGGGGAAGCAGGACGGGATTCCTGGCAAATGCTGCAGGAACTTACCCAATTGACAATGTCCTCGTCTAGACCCGGCCACCACACGTAGCTGCGCGCCAACGCCTTCATTCTCACAATGCCGGGGTGTCCCTCGTGCAACGCCTCCAGGACTCGGGTACGCAGCGAGGTCGGAGTGATCACTCGAGTGCCCCACAGTAGACAACCCTGCAAACTGGACAGCTCCTGCATGCGAGTCTTAAAGGGTGCGAATTTATTATCAACATTGCCTCCCGGCCACCCCCTCCTCACCCAGTCGAGCACCTGGGCGAGCGTTTGGTCTGCCTTGGTTTTGGCGGTGATGTCAAGGGCGGTGATGGGCAGGTCCAACTGGGTGATTTCAAAAATGGCATTGACAGGAGCTGGGTCTTCAGCCGGAGCGGGTAAGGGGCAGCGACTGAGTGCGTCAGCGTGGGATAGAGTTTTGCCCGGGCGGTGGATAAGTTTATATGAGTAGGCCGCTAGAAAAAGTGTCCACCGTGTCATCCGAGGGGAGAGGACTTGAGGTGTCTGTTTGTCGCCGGCCAGTAGGCCCAGGAGGGGCTTATGGTCAGTGACCAGTTCGAAGAAGTGGCCAAAAAGGAATTCGTGAAACTTTTTCACGGCTGCAACAGCTGCTAGGGCTTCCTTGTCTATTTGGCTGTAATTTCGCTCCGTGGCCGAGAGCGTCCTGGAGAAAAAGGCGATGGGGGCCTCGGCGCCATTGGCGAGTCGGTGACTAAGGACCGCCCCAATTCCAAAAGGGGATGCGTCTGCTGCCAGTACTAAAGGAAGGTTGGGGTCGAATTGGATGAGCACTGCCTCTGACGTAAGTAGTGATTTGACGGCGTTAAACGCCTGGTCTTCTTTGTGCCCCCAGTGCCACGGTGACTTTTTGTCTAGTAATCTGTGTAGGGGTTCGGCTACTGAGGCTTTATGGGGCAAAAAGGATGCATAAAAGTTTAGGAGTCCCAAGAAAGCTTGTAGCTCCGTTTTGGAGGTCGGTGTGGGAGCTTCGTGGATCGCCCTGACCTTGGACTCCAGGGGATGAATGCCAGAGGCGTCAATTTTATAACCCAGAAAGTCCACCTGTCTAGTGGCAATGGCGCATTTTTCTTTTTTTAACTTGAGGCCATGCTGTCTGAACCTCTCTAACACTGCTCGCACTCTCTGGAAGAGTTGGGGTCTGTCCCTGGCCGAGACCAAGATGTCGTCGAAGTAGGGTACTACACCAGGGAGGCCCTGTAAAATCTGCTCCATGAGGGATTGAAAAATACCCGGGGCAACACTTACGCCAAATTGGAGACGCTTGCATCGGAAGGCACCCCTGTGAGTGACGATGGTCTGAAGTTCCGCTGTTTGGTTATCAACAGGGAACTGTTGATATGCTTGAGACATGTCCAATTTAGCAAAAATATTGCCCGGTTCGAATGTATGCAATAAGTGCTGAATGACGGGCACGGGATAGGCGCTAACTTGTAAATATTTATTGATTGTTGTCTTGTAGTCCGAGCAAATTCTCAGGCTACCATCTTTTTTGAGGGGTGTGACAATGGGCGTCTCCCACTTGGCGAAATCTGTTGGCTCAATGACCCCTTGTTTTAGTAGTTTATCCAATTCAGCGTCTAGTTTTGGTCGAATAGCAAATGGAACTCTACGTGGTTTTAATCTGATTGGGACTGCCTGGGGGTCAACGGTGAACGAGATGGGGGTTCCATTATAACACCCCAGCTCCTCGCTGAACACATCTGCGTAGTCAGCGAATAAGGAGTCAGTGTCTGAGGTTGAGACAGCATGGACTCCTGTTAACCCTAGGCCGAGGTGGGGAAACCAATCGAGCCCCAATAAGGTGGGTAGATTGCCGTTAACTACCACTAGAGGTAGGTGGCCTTTAAAAGCTCTAAAACTGACAAAGAACTTGCCTCTGCCGATCACGGGAATGGCCTTCCCCTGGTAGTCCTTCAGACCGAACTGGCATCTCTGAAGCCGGGTAGTAGATAGGCTGGGGTGGAGTCTCTTGAGGGTGTTCCACGAGATTATTGAGAGCGCTGACCCTGTGTCAACCTCCATGTGGCACGGTTTACCTTCTAGGGAAACGGAGAGAGAAATTTTACTAACAGAGTGGCAAGTACGCCTGGCAAGGCAGTGCGTGCGACAGTTTAATACTTGCCTCTGTGGTCCCGAGTGCGAGGACGGGGGTCTTTGTGCAGCGCTTTGGGGGGCTTGGCAGACTCTCGCAATGTGCCCCCTCTTATGGCAGTTGTTGCAAACGGCTCCTTTAAACTTGCAGGTGGCCCTTTGATGTGATCCCCCACAGGCTAGGCACAGGGTGATGTGCTTGGGTGGACCGGTGTATTCTTGTTTGGCCCCTACCTGCGACTGTCTGTCATTGGTGAGGCGATGGACATCGTTCTCATCGTTGTGGCCTTCCTCCGCTTCCACCTCTTCGGAATGGACTGGGAACGCTGCTAGCTTGGCGCTTGGGCCCTGAATTTCGGTGGCTGAGTTCGTAGCTAGCTCGGCTGCTAGGGCCTCCTCTACCGCTTGCGCGAGGTTGAGGTCTTTTTTAGCTAGCAGTCGCCTCTGTAGGTTGAGATCCTTGACCCCACAAACCAATTGATCGAGGAGCATGTCCTCCAGGTATGTTCCAAACCCGCAGTGCAGGGCTGCTGTTCTGAGGGCGGCCATATATTGGTTGATGGTCTCCTTACTTGATTGCTTCCTCATTCGGAACGTGAACCTCCTGGCGATTTGTGAAGGTCTGGGAGCGTAGTGGTTTGTGAGGATCTCAAGCAACTCGGACCACGGAACGTTTTTTAATTCTCTCGGCGCCACGAGTGCTGCAGCGGTATCGTAAACGGTGGCTCCGCAGTAGATTAGGAAATAGGATTTTTTCCGATGCTCTCCCGCATCCGACAGGCCGACCGCATCGATGTAATGATTGAAACGGTTCTTATACGATTCCCACTTCTCTTCGTCTGGTTTAAACGCCGGGAATACTGGATTGGAACTCATGGTGCTGGAACGGCTGGGCTACCTGCGGGAGAAATCTCTCTGGGACTACGAACGCTCGTGAGTTACAAGTGATATCAGCTCTGGAGAGGTTTTTTTTTGCTACCCTCTCTTTCTCTCTCTCTGGGTTACCACGTTGGCTGCTAGCCGTTGGAGGTGTCTTGATTCGCGCCAAAAAAGTGGGCGTTAGTGACTCTCTACAGCGCTGTGCTGTGATTCCTACTGGCCCGAAATTCAAATGACACCCGTTTGAATTTCGCGCCAAATGCAGAGCGGCTGCGGCTCGCAGCGCTTCACTTTCCCCGTAGCGAGGCTAACAAGCGGCTACAGACGCTTCTAACTATTTGACTCAGACCGCTTTCTCTGGCTGCGGATCTGCGTTTGCTCTTTTTGATCGCTCGTTTCGCTAGCTGACCGCTCTCTCTGGCTGCGGATCAGCGTTTCCCTTGTTGCCAGCCGATCGCTCTCTCTGGGCTGTAGATCGGTGGCTAGTGACTCAGCGGTTGCAAGGTGCTTCTGGTAGCCATCCCACCTTCGTCGCCAGTGTTAAGTTTGAGCAATGAGAGGCTGAACCAGAGCATGAGTGCAACAGTACTTTATTTACAAATAAAGGGCTGACCGTGCTTGCCAAGCCTGGAACTGGCTCGCAGCAATCAGCAGCCAGTTGGACCCCGCAGCCTGCTTTTATAGCTGGCTGCTGGGGAGAACTGACCAATGGGAATGGGGGGAAATAACGCCCACACAAGTGAGTGGACCTGAGTGAGAACTCCTTGAATCCTCAGGACATAACAGAAATCACTGCAGGATTGAATCCAGGGGTGGGATTCAAATTTCTTAACAACTAGTTCTGTGGGCATGGCCTAATTTGTGGGTGTGGCTTGGTGGTCATGTGACTGGAGTAGGTATGGCTAGGTGGTCATGTGACTGGGGTGGGCATGGCTAGGTGGCCATGTGATTGGCAAACCAAATATAAGTGGTCCTCGCTTAATGGCCAGTTGCTTAGCAAGTGTTCTAATTTATGACTGATCTCCCCAGAGCTACTTGACCTGTTTTTGGAGTTTTGACAGCCACACACACACACACACACACACACACATGACCAGTTACAACATCCCACACAGTCATATGAATGAAGTTTTCTATGTTTTTTTACCAGTTTCCAACAATTCCTTCTGGTTTCCAGTTAAAAATGCCCATTGGAGAAAAGGGACTTTTTTAACAACCAGTGTTTGCTTAATGACCACAAGGTTCACTTAGCGACCATTGTGTTTGCTTAACCCGGGTCTGCAACCTTAAACATCAAAGAGCCATTTTTCTATTTTCTTTTAAACAGATCTCTCTCTTTCCCCCCTCTCATCTTTTTCTCTCATCTTTTTCTTTCTCCTACTCTCTCTTTCTCATCTCTCTCATTTCTCTCTCTCATCACTTTTTCTTTCCCTCTTTCTCATCTCTTTGTTTCTCATCTCTCCCTCTCTCTGTCTCTTGTCTCTCTCTCTTTACCTCCCACTCTTTCTCCCTCTTCCTCTCCCTCTCTGAACATCTGAACTGGTGCTGGGTGGTGGGAATCTGACGAGCCAGTACTGAAGACCAGATGGCTGGCAGGGAGATGGGGCAATCCCACGGTCTTCCCAAAAATAATGCTTCTGGTGAGGAGGAAGAGAAGTGCATTGGGATGAGACTTAGGGTGTCAGAGGGGCAGCGAGCCCTTCCTAGTTCCTGAGGGGGTCGAGCCTCCCTGCTCCCAACATCTTCACATGAGGGCATTACTGGCAGCTGCTTCCTGCTTCTCTGCAGCTGTGCTAACAGCATTCAACCTGGCTGCTTCCCTCCTCCTTCTCGGCCTCATGTATACAGAGCAAACACTCACACATCTCATGGTGCTAGAGGGACTTGCCCATGTGCCAACTCCTTGCAGAAGATCCTCCCAGTGCCATGTGTGCACACTCTAGAAGGAGGAGGAGGAGGAGGAGAGGAGAAAAGTTGCCAAACTTTTGTTCCTTCCCTTCGCAGCGGAGCTGCTTGGAAGGCAGCTCCTGTGGCCTGGCTGTCCCTTTATGGTCCCCCCTCACCACCACTCCCACATTGAGGTACCTTAAAGGGACAGGCTGCAGTAGCAGCCTTCATGCTGCAAAGGGATGAAGAAAAGTTCAGCAACTCTTCTCCTCCTTCTCACACATACACACACATAGAGCATGAACACATGGCGCTGGAGGGACTCACCCACATGCCGACTCCTTGCAAAAGATCCTCCCGGTGCTGTGTGTGCACACTACCCAAGAAGGAGGAGAAAAGTTGCCAAACTTTTTTTTCTTCCCTTCCCTTCACAGCAGAGCTGCTCAGAAGTCAGGTCCAGTGACTGTCCCCCTTCACCACCACTCCCATGTTTAGGAACTTTTCTCCTTCTCAGCAATACACACACACATTCTGTGTGTACGGCACTGAAGGGACTCACCCATGCACAGAAGGTCCCATCCTCACATGTCCATGCTCTGTGTGAATGCCCAAGAAGGAGAAGAACACTTGCCAAGTTTTTCTTCCTCCCTCTCTTCTGACACACTGGCCAGGCAGTGAGCAGTGTCATGTGAAGCAAATGTCTTCCCAGACAGTGCAGCCATGAGGCCCTGACCTCATACAAATGCAAGTTTGCTGACACCCAAGGATTCCAGGCTTTGGCTGCAAGAACTGCAGACAGCCTTCCCCACCACACACTTCCTCCTCCTGCCACCTCATGTGAGGCAGGAGGCCCGATAGAAAGACCTGGCCCAAAGACACAGCCCTCCATGACAGAGCCCTTCCTAGGGAACAAAGCAAAAACTTACTGATCCATCCCAAAGGGGAGCTACAGAGTGGCGGTGGCAGCACCCTTGGAAGATGGCCTTCAAGGCCCTGGGAAACCATCTTGTGTAGCACAGCAAAACTTACTTTAGCAACTGGGAGTTGCTGTTTTGGGTTCTGCAAGTCCCCCTCCCTTTGGAAAATGGCTCTGGGTGGCAGAGAGGAACAGCATTCAACCTGGTTGCTTCTCTGCTACCCGGAACATTTCCTGATGGGGATTTGCAGGACCCAAAGCTAAATTTTGCTGTGCCAGGAAAGAGACTCTCACTCTCCCAGCCTAGACCAGCAGGGAAGAGAAGCAGCCGCTGACCCGGCCAGAGATGAACATGCTCCACATGTTCTCTGGCGAAGGCAAGTGAAGGTGACTGGCAGCGGTGGCAAAAGGCAAGTGGGGGGGGAAGGTGACTAGTGGCGACAGGTAGGCAACCGGGGCTTGCTTCCAGAATCTCACTCACCGATTGTGAAGGCAGGGAGCAATGGCGTGGCAGATGGGCAAAAGCAGGCTGCAGGCAGCCATGTCGCACATGTGCAATAAGGACTGATTGTGCAGGGACGGGAAGGGAGGGTGGAGAGGGGTGGGGCCAGCCAGTGGTGCGATTTGCCAGTTCTCTGAACTGTGCAGAATCATAACAACCAGTTCTATAGAACCAGACAGAACTGGTAGAATCCCACCCCTGGTTGAGTCTATCATCTGTCTGTCTGTCTGTCCGTCCATCCGTCCATCCATCTATCCATCCATCGATCTATATCTATCCATCATCTATCATATATACATACATAT